AACTACAATTGCCTATATATAATATTAAATTGAAAAAAAAAAACAAATAAAGCGCATTCAAGGTATTTTTCTTTTTAATGGACAATGGGAGACAGGATGCATAAATATCTTAAATTAGAGGAGCGTTTTAGTCAAAAGTGAAATTCAATAAATATAGCCAAATCCACATAAGGTCAACATTGTAAGAAGGTATTAAAACAGGTAACCCTAGGAATAGTAATGCGTCCCAAGGTAACCTAAACATTCAAGAGTTAAAATCTAAAGCCTTTCTTCTATTTCCTATAACATATATTCTATAGTTATAACAAACATACCACCATTTGAAATAAATCCTGAAATATCAAATAAATATAGATTCTACCACTGCATCGAGTGTGACACGATTTTTATTCACACGAGACAGTTAAATTTTCTAATTTAAAACGGGAGGCTGGTCGAGTGTTTTAAATATTTAAAATTTAACTGTTGAAAGATCGACTTCACCATCTCATTAAACAGAGCTTTTTCTATAAAAATGGGAATCGTAGATACAAATTTCTTGTTTTGGGTTACAATAATTCATATTTTGTGAAGAACCAAACTGAATCTACCAGAAATTATACTGAAGATGATATTATCAAAATGCTGGACTTTTTGATCGACAATATATTTGTTGAGTTTGGAGGATTTATATTTCAACAGACAGTCGGTATTCCAATGGGTACTAATTGTGCACCCCTACTGGCCGATTTGTTTTTGTACTCGTATGAAGCAGAATTCATTCAGAACCTTCTTAAAGACAAAAAGGAAAAGCACCTTGCGAAATTCTTTAATTTTACTTTCAGATATATTGATGATGTCCTATCATTGAATAACCAATATTTCAGCCATTACTTACATCTCATATATCCCAGTGAACTTGAAATTAAGGATACTACTGATACTAGAAGGACTGTTTCATACCTTGATCTTTTCCTCAATATTGACACAGATGGACGACTTCACACGAAAATCTATGATAAACGGGACGATTTCAACTTCCTAATTATCAATTTCCCATTTCTCAGCAGTAAAATACCCGCTGCCCCTTCGTATGGTGTTTACATATCTCAGTTGATACGTTATGCTCGTGCATGTTCACACTATACGGACTTCATATACAGGAGTGAGCTCCTAACGCAGAAACTGCTCCAACAAAGTTATGAGGAGGACAGATTAAATATGACACTCCGTAAATTTTATGGACACCATCACAGTGTCACATTGGTTGATTCATATGATGTGTCTTTGTCCAAACTAACAAAGGAAATTTTTACCACGTGTTAGATTGTGGTTTGCCATTACGTCGTCTGATCTTTTAAATACCGAACGTGTTTTGCTGAGTGTGAATTCGCATTGCTATAAGACGTGTCACGGTATTTTTCTATCCAAAATCCATGTATTTGGTTTTGATGTTTTATTTGTTATTCTCATCGGATTTTGTCAAATGTCTTATCGTTTGTAGTTGTAAATCTTAATTTTTTTTTCTGTTCTATTCGTGTGTTACGGTAAAGATAATTAATCACCCAGTTCATTTATAAGATTTTAGTTTGGGTCAACTAAATTTATACGATGTATTTGGTTTACAGTTTGATTTAGAAGAAATACCGACATAGCTTGATAATACAATTAATTATCTAATTACTACCATAATTGTATATTAATAAGTATTGTAATTTTCATTGTTATTAATACATGTCATATCGGTATAACAAACCTAATCTTGAACTCTATCCTATTTTTTGGAAATTTATAGAAATTTATATGTGACGTCACATTGTGCGTCGATCTCTTCGGCTAATATATAATACGTTGTTCGGCTGTGCCTTTTTATGTGCTGATTTAGGTTGTTTTACGTATTCATTTTTATTGCCATAAAAGCGGGAGGTTTGGCTGACCACAAAACCAGGTTCAACCCACCATATTTTCTTAAAATGTCCTGTACCAAGTCAGGAAAATGGCCATTGTTATATTATAGTTCGTTTCTGTGTGTGTGTTGCATTTTAGAGTTGTGTTTCTGTTGTGTCGTTGTTCTCTTATATTTGATGTGTTTCCCTCAGTTTTAGTTTGTAACCCGGATTTGTTTTTTTCTCAATCGATTTATGAATTTCGAATAGCGGTATACTATTGTTGCCTTTATTTAAATGATATGCAGACAAATTCAATCCTTCCTTTCGAATGGTCTGCAAACAGATGTGTTCTTTCTATGTGAGGTTATCAGGCATGATTGCCTTTTTTCATGACGTCATAATAGGAAATTCAGAGGAAAGCAAGAATATATTACGTCATAATCGAATTTGGTCAAATAAAGAACTAAGATTAAACGAACCACACGTTAGTTAAATAAAAATAATCAACAGGACAGGAAAAGGATAACTCATGTAAGAATTAGAGAAAATTTGAATAAAAATATCTTGTAGAGACATTTCAATTTCAGATAACCCGTATCATCCATCCTCCTTTAAATATAAAGTGGAACTAGAATTAGTTATCTTCTCTTGATTATTGATGAATTCGTATTTAGCTAATCATGTAATTATTATTATTTGACTTAGTATTTAGCAAAATGATTTAACTTTCAGAAGAAAAGGGCACTGAATGGGTTAATCTAAAGCTTATTTGATTGCTCTTCACTTATCACAATTAAAAAACTGCTCCCATATACTTTTCATATGAGTTAAAATTGATATAGAAATTCAGCTCTATAATTAACGTAAATATGACGTTGGAATAAAATATTAATATGAATGCATGTGAAACGTTACGCTACGAAAAAGATATACAAAGCTTAAAAGCACCCACAATTTTTAAATGTTAGTCAAATGATCCTTCGTTTCATGCTTCATATGTTGTACTTATGTTCTTATATTGTACTATTACACCACTGTCCAAGGTTAGGGGGAGGGTTGGAATCCCGCTAACATGTTTAACCCCGCCACATTCTGTATGTATGTGCCTGTCCCAAGTCAGGAGCCTGTAACATATTTGTTTTTCGTTCATTTTTTGTACATTAATTAGGCCGTTAGTTTTCTCGTTTGAATTGTTTTACATTTGTGATTCCGGGGCCTTTTATAGCTGACTATGCGGTATGCGCTTTGCTTATTGTTGGAAGGCCGTACGGTGACCTACAGCTGATTTGGTCTCTTGAGAGTTGTCTCATTGGCAATCATACCACATCTTCTTTTTAATATTCAGTAGAAATTTTAGATTGTATTAGCACTGGTAAATATATATACGACATATGACAAAGGGATGTAATCTCCTACAAACAAATCCACAAAACATTATTTGTTGGGTTATTAAGTATTGTTACTTGGAAACAGGCCTCATCATGAAAGTTACACCTTATCACTTGAGGTTGCCGTTCAGATTCATATACGTCTCGTGGAAAAAGCTGTCTCAACATTATTGACGTAGTAGTATCTTGTATTGGGTTATTGAGGGACAGCTAAGGTAATGTTTTTCTCAGACTGCTTTTGACGTCTTTACAATATTGTATTTGTTGGATATATAGTGATTGATATTTAAGTCTAGGAGAACATGATATATTTATTAGTTTGATTGGTTTTGAACTATCTATAAAAGGCCCGGACTTTAAAAAATCTAAAGTAATGTAAGTGCACTTTTGTCATCGGTCTTTATGTAAGTTGTATTTTGAGCTTTGTGTCAATCTGACAAGTCAGGAATTTCAAACTCGTTTTAATAATTTGCTCTTAGATTTTGCTGTTTCACCACTGGTCTATGTTAGGGGAGGGTTATGTGCTCACCAACACATTCTGGATGTGCCTGTCCCAAATCAAAAACCTGTACTGCAACGTGTCTTTTGTTGTTGTCGGTCATGTTTATTGGTTTGTCACAAATTGTAGATTTTCTCAGTGTGACTGTTTCACATTTTTAATTGCATTGTGGGTTTTTGCTCATTATTGAAGTTCAAGCAGTGACCTATATTGCTTACATTCACATCATTTGGAATCTGGTGGACAGTTGTCCAATTGGCAATTCTATCACTTATTTTTACATTGAAATCACATATCTAGATACTTCTATCAGAGAAGTCCTATTTTATTCTTTTTCTATTAAAGATATTTTCAACTCAACTTCCGTTATCAATGTGTTCTTTCTCATCGTCTCAGTTCATTTTAAAATAATGAATATATGCAATTGGAAAGTGGTGTGATGGTTTTATCACTGAATAAGCATCAATTGAATATTTTCCCATCACGTTCCTTTTCATTTTCATATCTTCCTAATAACATAGATTTCCAGATATGTTTTGTGTTCATTAATATGTATATATTTACATGTTTTCAATGAAAAGATTAGTGTTTAATATTCAGTGGCAAATATTACATGCATTTTAGGATGAGAACCTGGGTAGGTTCGTCAAATCCTTGTAATCATCTTGACCCCACAAAATTTATATGAAGAACACCGTAGTCAGACCTGATGTTTAGACACAATAATTATTGTATCATTTAGTGCATAGTTGTCTCATTGAAATTATACCACATATCTTTTTTCCATATAATGTATATGACATAAAATATCCTTGTTTTTATATGAAATACACCATTGACCACTACCTTCAGCTTTTGTTTATAGATTCCATTACTTTTCGCATCCTTTAGCAAATAGTTGTCTCAATTGAAAGTAGACTGCAACTCCTTATTATCATATAAAATACATCACTGACAATCTGAATTTCGATGATTTGCTGATAAACAGATTTACACTATAATAGCAGTACAAGGTTAGGTGAGTACAAGTGGATTAATTGATAGATGTCCTTCAAATATAACTACAACCCATAATAATGTAAATGATGAACCTGATAATCTTTCTTGAGGCAAAAAGTATTTGGTAGCTTATTTAATATCTCATTTCAGTAGTTTAATCTTTTCCAATTTAGAAAAAAATGAGAACTTCACTTCATCATTGAAACATGCAGCAAATTGTGTATAAATATGAACTGCTCAAACCTGTAAAGCTGAAATTTTATTGATAATTAACAATGAATTATAACATTATAACAATATATATATATATATCAGGATATGGTGTACAAAAACCTTTGCACCTGTTGTTTGTGGTATATCATCTTTTCCGCAAGTTTATTGTTTTCTGCTTAGTATTAAATTTAAAATTAAGATCAATTTATTACATCGGTGATCCGTTTATTTGGCAATCGCCAATGGCAGTCAGCAGGGTTTAAGAACATTTGTTGTTCGACCTGTAAGTCAAATGCGTTTTGTTAAAATATACTTTTTCACTTTTTTGGTCTTTTGGAAAATGTTGTTTGTGTTGTATTTAGACCCCTCTAACAAGAAATTTGTTTTGAATGCACACGTATAAAAATTGCGGTTTTTATCCAACGCAATCATAGGTTTGAACGTTGTTTTCAAATTTAGACTTGTTTATAAATATATATAAGACTGGTTTAATTCAAACTTGTGTAATGAAGTGAATTTTTGTCATTTCATTTTGTATTTGAATGTCAAAATCATTTTGCCATTCTAACTTTTATCTTAGTCTCAAAATTATTTTGTCATTTTATATTTATCTTATAAGTAGTGAAAATGAGCTCCTGCAGTCTTTTTTACCTTTAAGTAAATGCACAATAAATAAGAATAGAGGATAACAACTTAGCAATATATTTCTGTTTGATTGATTTGATTTTTAAAGTACTACTTTAAAGAATCATGCAAAATCTGATTGATGGGTTAAAACCCTACAAATAAGATTTTTTCTATATCTTATTAAGAATATATTATACATTATTAAGGATATACAAGTAAATCGAAGTTCAAATATAATTTTTCAAATGGACCCTTAAAAAAGTGAGATACATATTCTATAGAATGCATCACTAAACCCATTCTTTGGGAGACATTTCCTTGATATTCTATTGAATCTTTTGTAAAATGTATTCCAATTATCTCTCCTGATATATGAAATGCTGTAGATGGAAATATTACACGGCCATCTACATGAACATGTTTATTGCAAATGACTGACATAAAAAAATGCATAGCTTTTAGTGAGGTATTTTGCACAATTAGATTTTACATGATTCTTATAATTTTGAACTACTACTCAATAAACTGCCTAATACATTCATACAATTTCATATTGAACAGTTTTACTACTGAAGAAACCCGATCATTGCTTTTGAATAACAATATACCTACTAAGTGCACTTGTCATTTTTGCATACAATTTAATCAATACAAGAAATTAACCAGTGTGATGATAGATTATAGTAATTTAAAACAAAATGTCATTCTTCAAAATAAGGTTCTTAGTAGAGAAAGCTTCTTAGACATATAAAAAAAGACATAAGTTAAAATGCAATTTATAAAAATCTACAAATACAATTTGATAGTTTTTTTTAAGGTGAATATATTTAGAAATTACTTATTTTAATTTCTTTCATCTTATACTTGACTATTTCCTTATACTTTAAATCAGAGTCAAAACTACCAACCCCTTTATTACAGTTAAAATAATGTATAATATATTTATTTTTATTAGCATTATCTAATCATCTTAATCAACTAGGCTTGTTTACACAGTTTTCAATGTGCTATTTACAATGTCATTTTGATTAAATAGCCATTCAAATCCATTTGTTAGCACAAATTTGATAATTTGATAATTATTTCTATGAAAGATATGAAACATATGCTCGGGAAAAATAAGTTCCATGTTCTTCAGGTTTTAAATATAAGGATGCTGTTCACTGATAGTGCCTAACTTCGATATATACTGTCAGGAATTTGTGTTATAAGGACTTGCTCTACAGATGCATAAGTTTTGGCACGACCAGTCAGAAAATCATTCCGCCATGAGGCATATGTGTGCCCCAATGAGAACACTGCATCAAAAATACAATTAATTTTGATTTTCTGTGAGATTTTTTATCATTAAACGACTAATTTAATCCCATTATTAAACATGAAAAAATATCCCATCATGCGATATAGCATACTAAAGATATCATGTTATTTCCATGACTGGTCAAAATGACCATTATTAGGAGTTGAAACTGCAATTTGGTCAAATTATAAATGACTCTGACTGTGCTAGAGAGACGACCGCTTAAACAAGATAAAGAATACAGTGAAAATAATTGGTCGTATTCCAAAATGACTGTTAGACAAAGGTGAACTTTTACCAAGGGTCTAAAGAACCATGGATTTTAAGTACTGTAGATTCATTATTCATTATTTGTGAGATACCAATTTTTGTGGTTTTTTATTGGTATATGTGAACCATTTAAATGTTTAAAGAAGTAAAATTTTTCTATAGGCTTAAAGCTTGTATGCAGACTTTTGTAAAACCATAAAATCAAATATCCACAAAAATACAATTTTTCCTTAATCCAAGGAAATTGGTACCCACGAAAATAAATTAATCCACATTAACCATGTTAACAGTTAATTCTCATCATGACAAAAACCTGAAAATAATTTACATAAATAAATAAAAAAATATCAACAAAATATCAATGCTGATACAGGATATGATAAGCAAAAAACAATTACAGATCTATCTAAATGTAAATAATCAAACTAAACATAATCAAATGCACCTTAACTAAGACTTGTAAATTGCAATTAAATTTATAATATTGCATCACAATTCAGCTAATAATAACAAATAACCATTAAATTAGGACTAGCAAATCACATTTATATTAGGACTAGGAAATCACCATTAAACAAGGACTAGGAAATCACCATTAAATGAGGACTAGCAAATCACCATCAAATAAGGACTAGCAAATCACCATTAAATAAGGACTAGCAAATCACCATTAAATAAGGACTAGCAAATCACCATTAAATTAGGACTAGGAAATTGCATGTAAATAAGGACTAGCAAATCACAAATATACTGACTAGTAAACAAAAATCAATTCACAAAAAAAAAAATATATACATTTTTGTAAGCACTATTTCTGCATTATGCTCAAAAGAAAAAGAGAAAATAATACATATTAATTTTAACAAAATGAAAGATATGTAAAAAAAGAATGTAAATACACTATACTTAATTGGCATTATGCATTGACAAACAATAACAGAAATGCTAAAATAAACCAATTATTAACTATCATATACATAGTATAAGAATAGTGTATGTGTATAACAAGCAAATTACAATAATTTGTGTCCAACCTTCACTTAGGTTCGCCTACAAACATCTTTAAACAAGAATATGTCCATAGGACACCATGCCTCACCCACAGTATCATAAACTGCAAAATCTGATTCAAAACCATAATTTGGCATATATCTTTATCATGAACATATGCACTAAATTGATGTGTATAACAACAAGCAAATAACAATGATTTGTGTCCAACCAACACTTAAGTTTGCTCAAAAACATCTTTAAACAAGAACATGAAGAATATGCCCATAGGACAACCATGCCCAACCCACAGTTTCATAAACTGCAAAATCTGATTCAAAACCCTATTTTGGCATATATCTTTATCATGAACATGTGTACTAAATTGCAAATTGATGACCTTAACCTAATGGTAAATGACCTTGACCCAAACATTTAACCCGATACAGGAAGGTCATTTGGATGTATGGACAAATTTACAGATGAACTCCTTTAACTGACCTTAACAACTGCATACAAAATATAATTTACTCCCCATTAGTGGCTCATCTTAAACTGACACAAACTCAACACGTAAACTATGCAAAAGTTTCAAAGTCAATAGACCATGACTGAGGTGGAGCGAAAAAATAATCTCCATTAAAACGAGCTGTGCCAATGCTAATACAACTGCATTCCAGATAATAATGAAACAGCACTGATGGTAAACACAAACTAATATATTTCAAAATATATCTTAAAGGGACATCATCCTCCATGTTTTAATATAAAGACTGATTCATTAATTAAAAAGAAACAGATAAAATAGGACAACTCAGAAAGGAACTTGCTTTATAAGAATCAAATCATTCAAGAATTTTATTTTCAGTGTTCTCCCCATAAATTGTCAATCATGACCTATGATTCCCTGTTTTCACTCTCATCAAGCTATTTTTTTTTCTATTCAGTTAACTTTATTGCAAGAGTTGTCCTTCTTGAAAGCAAACTTGTGTCAATAAAGTCCATACCTATATGATAACTGTATCAACAATACACCCATAACAACAAATGTTAGCCTTATTTCAACCAATATAGTCTGTAATCTATTGCTACTACCAAACTTCTGTTTGATTTGTTGCACAGCCTAATTGACATCTAGCACAAAGAATTCTACCATGTCCAACTGGTGGCAGGGGCTTTTTATATAACATGTAGAAAGATGTCAGCTTTTGCTGTCGTTAAAGGCCTCAATATGACTCCGATATTAGAACAGTTATACAAGTTATACATATGCTCTTCCTCTGCTTTGGTTTTTGTCAATATATAAGGATTCTGCATCAATATGTACGTACAAGACATTAGATTGTATGTCAATATAAACAAATAAGAAACTTGTGTCAATATGTACGTATAAGAAATCTGTAACATGTACTTACAAGCTTTTGTGTCATGAACTAATTTAAAAATAAAAGATAACATAAATTGCAATAAATATAAGGCAGCAAAACAAACATACCACCAACTACCCCTCCTGGGGTAAAATATGAACAAACAAAAACAAACAGCAAAGAGGAACAAATGGTCTTGACAAACGCATTAATTACACTTCTTTCCCATTTCCAGTTTCCCTTTCCTAGACATTATGAAGACTAACATGAATTTAGTGTTGGTTGAACTAATGTTTTCTATTGTGGCAATGTTTTGTTTCCCGCAATGGCAAACCAAACTCAAAATTTGTATATGGAGTTCTAGAGTATAGTAATGTTTAAATAGTATTGACAATTACAATTAAAGTTATGAGTATTAAATAGTTTAGGACTAGAAAATATTTTTTATTCAAATAAGTTATTTAAATAATAAAATTAGGACAAAATAAGAAAATTCGCTTAACAAAAAATTTACAACCTGTCCAAATGGGAGGCAACTCTTACAAAACATGAAAAGAATTTATAAATAAGCTATCTGACCAAGAATTGAACTAATATCTTTTGACAGACAAATTGATAGTATTACATGTATTATATGCGCACAAAATTTGAAAAACTGATTGAACACATTTTAAATATCCCAAACTTTACAATCTAGGTAAAAATATTTTATTATGGCCTCTTAGTATAAACTTAACACATATTTTTTCCTTAAAATTGCAAAAACACTGAACACTATCTATAAATAATTGCACCTTATAATTGACATATTAGCACCACTTTTATTGTGTAATTTTTCAATACTTAAATGTATATGTATAATGAATTTGCTGAAATGAATTGCGCATCTTTACCCAAATAAAAACAACCTAACACTGGTCGTTCCTGTTTAACTGATCTAAACACAAACTGATATATTGTTGACGCCAAGTCACTCCTTATAGACAAACCCTTTTCAAGAATTTTTCCAATAAATTCTGCTACTAACATGCTATCAAACATATTTTAAAACAAAATTCTCACTTTCACCAATGAGATTTAAAAAAAGCTATTGATAACTAGCTTATTGCCAAATGCACAATAATTTCATCAAAATAAATGGTTCTTATGGCAGATATATATAGCTATAGTGATCCTAATTTAAACAATAGCTATATTGTTGTACTACACATCCTTTTTACTGTTAATAAATCTCACTAACTTAAACATTAAAAAGCTTTCAAATAAATATTAACTTAAATATATATATAAACAACCAACCAATAGAATAAAATAAATAAGACAATAATATTTGATTTCAAAACTGATTTGTAAATGTTTAAAAACTTGTCCATTCACAACAACATTCCTGTTTAATGCATACCTGCCAACTTTCCAAATTTATGGGTATTTCCCCAATGAATGGTGTTGACCTGACTCTTGAAATCCTTAGTTATACAAACTGAATACATGTATCTCAAAACAGGCATACCAATGATTTATTTGGCAATTTAGCATATAAAAACTCATTCAAAACCATAGTTTATTAGATAATAGCACTTATATGACGTCACATGTAGAAGAGATGCATTCTCTATTCTATTAGAGATATTGAAAAGTTGGCAAGTATGACCTTTCAAACTCCTTTCACATATAAATACATTGTGTTTTTGAACTTAAATATATATATATATCAAGTATATAGAGAAAGACATACATGTGCTGTAGATTACTGAAGAACACATTCATCCTTTTCTTTTTTACAATGCTTATTTAGATGGGCTGAGGAATTTTCTTCTCTAGAAGCAGGTTTCTCAATGGAACTTTGCATTGTGGGAGTAGCTGATCTATCCACTGGATGAGGATAAACTATTGGACCTCCCATATGCATAGGTAGTGAGGCTGGACTTTCTGTACAATGTGGATAAACTATGGGTTGATACACTAAGGGTTGAACCAAGGGTTGACTCACTAAGGGTTGAACCAAGGGTTGATTCACTAAGGGTTGAACCAAGGGTTGACTCACTAAGGGTTGAACCAAGGGTTGATTCACTAAGGGTTGAACCAAGGGTTGACTCACTAAGGGTTGAACCAAGGGTTGATTCACTAAGGGTTGAACCATGGGTTTCTCTACTTTGACTGGTTCCTTGTCTGTGTACATGATGATGTATTCTGGGTAACACTGATTCCTATCAAACACAACAAAGATTTGTGGATCTTCAACTTTGTCCACACATGAATCATACAGCTTATGAACCTGTCCAGGAATTTCTGGAGGTCGTCGAAGGGATGGATTCCCCTCTGTGAACTTTCCAACTAAAACTTTGGCTCGGAATAGAAATCTCATGTCTGTAGGTGAATCTGCTTTTGTATAACTATGACTCAATCTGGCACGAACAGCAAAGTAGGAACCTTCCCCATATACAGTAGCATTGCGGCCACTGGTACGGAAGTCAAAATTATTTGTACAAATACCATGGCAGGTATCTAAGGAATCAGTACCATGGAATAAATCTCTCTCGTCAATGTTCTGACCTTGACCATCTTGTTCTGCATCAGTTAACATATGCTTCTTCTTTCTGCAAAGCAACAAAAATCCTAGTTTTAAGTATATACTATACAGAAATATTTACATGCATACTTAATATTTAGATTATTTATATTGTATCCTGTTCGAGTTAATTTCGTGTCAGGTTGTCTTCTCCGTTTTTGTCGGTTAAATCTTTGCTGTGTTTTTTTTTCACATGTTCAATGCACTTAAATCAAGTGTAATTTAAGCTAAAGGCTAAAGTTCGTAGTAAAATGTCTTCAGGAAAATAAGCGAGCACTTAAATTTTCCAATATACAATATACTTTTTTTAGAAACACAATATACACGATGCTCAAACACATCAAACTAATGGAAAACATTAACTGTCATATTCCTGACTTGGTACAGGCATTTCCTTATATAGAAAATGGTGGAAAAGTGTGAAGTTCTCCACATACTTAAAACAAAACACCTTTGTCCTCCTCCATTCTTAAAATATTTTTTTTCTTTTAAAGACTAAAAGAAAACTTAAAACTAATTTGATTAAACTACCATCAATTCTGAAATGTGTTCAGAAGTTTTAGTTTTATTATTGCAAATATTGAATGGAATAGATAACAGAATAAAATGCTCAGCTGGGTGCAGCTTGATACGACCGCAGAGGTTGAACCCTGAACAGTTGGGGCAAGTATGGACACAACATTCAAGCTTGATACCGCTCTGAATTTGGATTGTGATTAAATATTTGACACTGTATAGGTTTCTGACACAGAATGAATGTGGTCTAAGAACTTCAAAAATTTTTAATTTACCTATCATGGTCCAATATCCAAAATCAAAATACATGCACGGTTAGATTCAGCATATCAAAGAACCCCAAGAATTCAATTTTTGTTAAAATCAAACTAAGTTTAATTTTGGACCCTTTGGACCTTAATGTAGACCAATTTGAAAATGGGACCAAAAATTAAGAATCTAAATACACAGTTAGATTCAGCATATCAAAGAACCCCAATATTTCAAGTTTTGATGAAATCAAACCATATCAATTCTATTTGCTTTTATATATAAATAAAAAATAACCAACTTAAATTGGAAAATTTTAAAGAAAAAAAAAAAGAAAAAAAAAAGGAAAAAAGAAAAAAGGAAACCCCCCCCCATTTTTTGAACCCCTTATGATTCATCACCCCCAAACTCAATCCCAGCCTTCCCTTTGAGGTATGGTACCTTGCAGTACAATTTCAGAGAGATCCATACACTTGAACACAAGTTATTTTCTGGAAACTAGAAAAATGCTTGTTTTTTGGCCCCTTTTTGGCCCCTAGTTCCTAAACTTTTGAGGCAATTACCCCCAAAATCAATCCCAGCCTTCCCTTTGTGGTATGTACCTTGCAGTACAATTTCAGAGAGATCCATACACTTACACACAAGTTATTGTCATGAAACTAGAAAAATGCTTATTTTGGGCCCATTTTGGCCCCTTATTCCTAAACGTTTTGGGCAATTACCCCCAAAATCTATCCCTGCATTCCCTTTATGATATGGAACCTTGTGGTACAATGTCAGAGAGATCCATACACTAACACACAAGTTATTGTCTGGAAGTTACAAAAATGCTTATTTTTGGCCCCTTTTCGGCCCCTAATTCCTTAACTGTTGGTACCATAATCCCCAAAATCAATCACAACCTTCCTTTTGTGGTATTGAACCTTATGGTAAAATTTCATAGAGATCCCTTCACTTAAACTAAAGTTATTGTGCGAAAACCAATGTGTCTTGGGATGACGACAACAATGCCAACGTCATACCAATATACCACCGCAAAAAATTTGCAGTCGTATTTTTTGCAGTCGTATAAAAATGAAAACTTGCATTTTAATTTTGATAGCATTATATTTCTATGCAGCATTTACTGAAATAGCAATAATCAATCTGACATGTTCTTCAAAAATTGCAAAAATAAATCCATGCAAAAGTTTCTGAATTTACAGCATTAACTAAAAAGTAAATGGCTGTACAAAATATGATGTGACAACAAAAATTAAACACTGAATACATTTTGGTACATTAAATAATTAAAAAAAAAGGTATGCTCACATGTCGTATTCACTCCAAATTTTCCTGTTCTGAATTCTATAAATAAATTTGAAATCAAACTTTGAAGGGTCCATAGAATCTAGTATTGACTTCAATACATCTGTGTACTCCTTCCCTGCCTCATCTAGCTCTATTGGTTCAAATTCATGTGAACAGTCCCAGTTGTAGAAATGTGCTGGCTTTGGTGTACCCATAGCAGATGGGAACGGTATACTGTCTAGACTAAAAAGGAAAATACAGGAGTGAAAACTGTCTTTCAGTAATAAGTTATATTGGTAATTTTTCTTGCACTTTGAATATTAAGTATAGCTTTTGTAACATTGTAAGTTATGTAAATGTGGATTTTTTTTAATTTTAATATAATTTTGTCTGTGGAATCTATGTAAATGTTTTATTTGATATATGCAGTACTTGCTAATTTTATGTTTGTAAAAAAAACCTGTATACTGTGGATTCAATTATGAACAAAGGAAGATAACTCCAATTTTAATATTACCTATATAGGGGTAAATTCAGTAAAAAATCTCCCATTGACTTCAATGCAAACTTATCTCTTAAATTAAATTTATACCTGGTTTACCTTTAGAAATCAGAAGCTTTCATATATCATTCTTGAAAGTGTAAATATAGACCATCTTTTGCAACAATAAAAACATAGGGTCAAGCAGCATTTTTGGGCATTCACATGGCCTTGTTTACAAACACTGTAGATTCACACTTAATTCCTATACAGACCCCATTACTACTCAACCCTGTAGTAATAAGGATTAAGTACATTCAACATTCATTTTTTCTCCTTTTTTTTTTAACCTAATCTATCAAAAATATTTATTACAAACATTTTCTACCAATCAGTGGAGCACAGGACTTCAGTGTTATACAGAAAGCTCTCCCCTTAATGACTTTTACTGAATTTACCCCTTTAATGACCTTTTTTATGAACAGAAAGATTTGCAATTGTAATTGTCATACACATCATCATTGTGCACTTTTGCTCATTATTCTCTATTCTGTAAACCCCATCCAGATCCTCATTAGAGTACTCAATACATTCTTATTAAATATTCAAACAGGCTAACAATAATTTTTAGAACTTACAATTTTTCTTGCAGAACATCATCTTTGGAAACAAGCAAAGGACGTCTGATAATTTCTCTAACTTTATCTGTTTCAAGATTAATCTGTATCATTTTCATAAACTCTATTTTGTACATTAAGAAATTATTCTCCTTGGAAAACAAATAGCTCTTCTGCTTTGTTTGATATTTCCTCTCAAGTGTGAACAAGAATAAATCCTAGAAAAAAAATACATGTATATAGCCTCAAAATATTTTATCAGTGTGTCAATCTTATGTTTATACTACATTTTTGTACTACCACTGGCCACTTCTGGTGGAAAATGATTCCATTAGGATGACACATGTCTACTTGCAGAACTTCAGTCCAGGAATAACAAATTCAAATGACATAGTTCGATTGAATTTCATAAATTATGAAATTGTCAAAAAAATAAATGTTCTTTTTTTCACTTGGCTGCTCTCACATTAATATATATCCAAAACCTCCTTTTATCCATATGTAAGGTCAGGTAGAATTATAATTTGTGAGGTCACAGGTCACAAAAATGATTCATATTACATCTTATTTGGTCTGATGATTATAAAATTCACAAGGGGCCTATGTGGCCAAGTGGTCTAAGTAGTAACAACAATCACTAGTCTGTCAACACTGAGAATGTGAGTTCAAACACCACACATGGCAGGTGAGTATGGCTCCAATCTTAATTGACTAGAATTGCCAGTTTTCAAAAGGAGGTAAAAATGGTGGTTCTGTCTGGACACCTCCACCGATAAATTCTGGCCACCACGATATAGCCAAGAGTGCTGAAATTGGCGTTAAACACCAACAATCAATCAATCATATAATGTCACATGTCTCACCTTGTTGAACATAGTCCACTCATCATCATCTTTCCAATACCACCTCCACTGTGTAAGATAGCTGTCGACTGTCATTTTCTTTTCAGCAAAGGATGGAGTACTCAGACGTCTGACAGTAGACCACTGGTCATCATCAGCTGCTGGCAATCCATTCACATCTAAAATAACTGCATGCATCTTTTGGAACCAAATATGACAGTTGTATTTGTTGTCTTCACATTTCATCTGAAAAAAATGGTCATTCAATCAGGTTAAAAAATAGTCCATTTGAATGTAAAATCCTCCACTAAAACCCCCTACCCTCATGACCCTTCAGTTTGCAATTTATTTGAGTTGTTACTCTTCACCTTCTATTCCTGTACATGCATGAAATATTTGCCACTGAACGTAAAGCAACCATCGATCAATCAATCTTCACTTTCTAATCTATTGTAACAATTTGAATCCAAACATGATATGATAAAGGATCCTGTGTGCGTTTTAACTTAAGTTTATGAATCATATTCGGTTAAAATCCAAGTGATCCTGCTAAAATAATGAAAAAACTAAAATAACGAAAAAAGTTATGTCATTGAAACATTTTAGCACTAAGCATATATCATGTATATTGCTTAATAATTATATATAGTATCTAACTTTGAAAAATAAATCTTTATATGCCATGCATGGTTAGCATGATTTGCTAAACATGAAAATTGGAGGCTGCAAAAAATAATACACTTAAACAACTTGTATAAACTTACTTCTGTCGGTGCAACATCTTGCAAATCACAGAAAGATTTTTCTATTTTTTCATTTTCCGCCAATGAAAATGAAAACCATTTCCCGGATATCTTAATCTGCCACAAGTACGGTAAGCCACACGGCAGGTGATGTTTTTTACAGGATGCAGATGTACATTTATCTTTCGAAACAAATACACAGATTTTGGTATTTTCTGTTTCATCTTTCAACAAGGACAAGTCAGTTTCCTGATACTCTGGATCAGACGGGGATGGCGCTGGCTCTGATTTCACATCTGTATGGTTTGGTAGAACACTTCTTCCCTGCTGTTGTTGTTTCCACTGCTCCATCATCAATCTCTCTCTTTCAATAATATTGTCATCATCATCATGATTTTGTTGCTGTTCTTTTTTCCATTTTTCCATCTGAATCCTCTCTTTCTCCTTAATGTCGTCATCATCAAGCAAATTTTGATGCTCATCTTTTGAGTTTTTGTCATTGTCTTGTTTCTCAACTTTCCAGTTTTCCATCATTTCTTCCTCTTTTTCTTTGATGCTATCAACATCTTCATTACGTTCCTGTTGACTCTTTTTGATGTTGTCATCCTCACAGTCTTGCTGATCTTGTTCAATATTTTCAATAGTTAACTTCTCTTTCTCAATTCTTTTGTTATCATCCCCATGACCATCATCATAACCTCTTGGGTCATTATCATCAACAAGCTCATTATCATCATCTTCAGCATCATTTTGATAATCATAATCACCATAATCATGATAATAATCTCCACCCTCATTGTCATCATAATCATTGCCATCATTGTCGTGGTAATCATTGCCATCATTTTCATGATAATCATTGACATAGTTTTCATCGTAATTATCCTGATAATCATCATTATTGCCGAAATCACAACCATCATCTAACGCATTATCATTACCATTTCCTTGTTGAACCTGATTCTGGTTTTCTGTCATTATCATTTCTTTCACTCTAGGGTCGTTTTCAACATTCCTATCACCATAATAATCCTCATCATTACCATCACTATAATCATCATCATCACCATCATCATTACCATCACCATAATCATCATCATCATCATCATCATCAACATTACCATCACAAAAATGATCTTTATCAACTTTACTATCACCATAGTCATCATCATCATCAACATTACCACCACCATAATCATCTTTATCATCATAATCATCACTACTTTCTGTTAAATCTTGATCATCTTTACCAACAATTCCACATGTGATATTTTCCAATGATCTAAACCTTTCTTTACGACCATGCTTTGACCTTGTCCCTTCCTTGTTGTAATTAATACTAAGGTTTTCAACTGAATGTACAATTTTATTTTTTGCAGGACCCAATGCAGAACTAGAAAGACTTTCACTGCTGACATAGACATCACTGTCATAATCAAAAACGCTAGACTCTTCAATGTCATGAAGATCGTCTTCATTTTGACTGAGGTCAGAATCATCTGAATAATTGTCGTTCTCTTTCTTTTCTCTAGGAGGTACATATATAGCCATGAAGACTTTAGCAGGAGGCCATCCTTTCATATGACATGATGTAAGAACCCATTTATTATGAAACTGATTAATGGTGTGTGTTCTATTAAATTTGCAAGGATCTGAACATTTACCAAATATTTTCTGCCGACAAATGTGTAAATGAGGACATCTTCTTTCTGGGTTGTCCACCTTACAACCATTGTTGTAAATATAATCAGCACAAACTGATGGTGAATTGCAATTAAGGACAATTCTCATTTCATCATCGCTAAAATTGCCAATTCCAAGTTTATTTTTCAAACGATAATTGTGGGGACTTCTAAAACTATGAGACAGTGGACAATCTTTATCTTTACAGTTGCCTCTAATAAAGCGCCGACAGATGTGAAAATAATCCCAATGAGCATTTTGACATTCCCCAGGATTTTTCTTGCTGTTCCACTGGACACAAATCTTGGCATCTCTGTAAAATGGTTGAAGATAAACAATATCTTTTTTATCCCAGAAAATATGAAATCTTCTATTGTGTTTTCTGAACCACAGCATGATATTGGAGTTCAAAGGAAAAAGGTCACACCTTCTTAAAAAGTCTTCATAACTACATCCTCCGCCAAAAGTTTTGATCAAGAATTTGAATACTTCAGTATCATCCACGTCTGGTATTTTGCCATTTTGTTCCTCATTATCATGTTGATGTACCTGTTGACCAACTTTATCTTTGCCATCACCACGGCTATGAACTCTTCTGAGTTGTCTTCTTAAACTAGCTTTAGATCTGTTATTATCACGATCTTGCTGACCATCACCTGTGAAAATGCAATTAATACACATAGAAAATAATTGCCAGTACTGTGTTCAGGCTGAAAAGTATATACTGTATATACTACTAATTTTCGTGAGCAATTTATTTTCACGACTTTCACGAGTAGAAAAATTATGCCAATATAAATTGTCGCAAAAATTTAAAACTTGGATCTTTTCTTATCTAACTACATCAAGTGAATTTGAAAATCGCGAAATTGAATCGCTGCAAAGTGGGCTAGAAACGAAGGGTTAAACATGAAATAAAGCTTTCGCGAAAATAAGTTGGTTTACAGTATTTATTGCCCAACAAGCTGCTATTAATGAACTTCCTGTTGATTGCAGATCTTTGAAAATCTAGTCAGTTCACAACTCTTCTAAAATTTGGGTGAAACAGGAAATTTTCTTTTGTCTTATCTACATTTCTAAAATTGATTATGACGTTGTTACAATAAATCAAGTGGATGTGTTCTGCCTGATATTTTAGTACGGAAAACATGATTCATTTATTAGGGAGGGTTGAGGGCTCACATATATGTTTAACCTGCCACATTCATAATGAGCCTGTCCCATGCAAGTCAGGTGCCTGTTATTCAGCAGTTGTCATTGGTTGCTTATAATATATGTCATATTTGTTTTTCATTATTTGTTTTCTCATAAATCAGGCTTCTGGCTTTCTTGTTTTAAATGTTCCACATTTTGTCATGTAGAGGCTTTTTTTAGGTTACTATGGATTTTGCTCTGTTGAAAACAGTATGTTCCTTAACAGATGGTTGCTTACATCCACACCATTAAGGCTCTGGCGGGTAATTGTCTCATTGGCAATCCTTTCATATTTTCTTACTTTTATATATAAATGTTAACTAGCTAAAGTCTATTCAGCATTACTGATAGCTAAATGATACTAAAATTCTTCATAAATGACATTATTCTGAAAACTTAAAATTTTAATATTTATTCCAGTCATTTTATATGTACCTGTCCAAATATGACAATTTTTCAGACCCCTATTCCAAACTTTAGTTTTTTCTTACATTTATAAATTGTTAGTTGGTATTGTCTGTTGTACCATCTTATATTTGTATGTATTATTAATATTTCTTCATACTCATACCATGATAATCCTAAAGAAAAAACAACAAACTCCATTTTTCTGTCAATCGAAATTTAGATTTTCAAAGACGTTTTATAAATCTCAATAATTAGGATTTAAAATTATATCTTTCTGATATTTGATATATTGCACTGGTAAGTATTTATAGATTATTAATTTATAACAAGCCCTTTTCCATATATTGGTCCTGGTATAATCCCGAGACTCCCATATCAGTCTGAGGTTTTAGCCGAGGGCCGATATGGGTCGCGGGATGATACCAGGGCCAATATGGAAAAGGGCATGTTATAATCTATTTATCACATATTTAAGTTCTGCAGAAAAGAGAAAAACATTCAATTATAACTATTTAATTAATCACACCTATAAAATCTAAAACGTTTTATTTCACATTTTCCTAATGATTAATTTTGATCATTTATGCCTACTGTATACAAATTTATTGAAACATTTCCCCTTTATTTTCGAATATAGTAATATAACACAAAAGCGAGAATTTGGCATAACTGGGGCTAAATCGATAATAGTTGGTTGGACATTATTACTAGTGGCCATTGTAGCAGAATTCTCTTAATTTTCAATACAAACACCGTCATTGTTCGCCGTTGTCGTTAAGGACACAATGATTTAAATTCACGTCATTTGGAATCAGGGCACAATAACCAATAACCTGTAACTTCTTTGCCCTGGGCAGCAATATGAGTAGCACAATTTTGCGGTTATAACACGTTACATATGCAAAACCCTATGTTTTCGTAACAAATATGTGATAAATATATAATTTCACAAAATAGTAATTGTATTTTCAATATCAGCGCTTATGAAACACAGACACATCTATCATACACACACAATTACCTTTTTGTATATTGATTCCTGTCTGTGATACAGGCCCAGACAGCAAAACTTGAGGTTGTGACTCCTGAGGAGGTGGGTTCTGTGTCAACTGAGTAACAGGTACTGGCAAGTATACATCTGTATTAAATAAACATACTTATCATGCTTATTATAGAAATTAATTTCAGCTTTATAGTATATATAAAATATCTACATTGTATCATGCATATTATTATGATTTGACTCAATGGAAATCTAATTCATTCTGCATTTTTCTAGCTTTTGCCATCTTCAAATGACATAGAAGTATTCAAAGTAAAATATAAAGGTCACTGTACCGCCTTCAGCAATCAGAAAAACCCATACCGCATAGCAAGCTTTAAAAGGCCTTGAAATGAGAAAACTTAAAGCCTCATGATCATATTAATAATATTAATCAATTTCTATATAACTATATCCTATATTTGTCTTGTCTTAGATCTTACACATGCATGTGCTTAGCAATTGACATTATTTGCATAAAACATACTTTTTTGTTCCTACATAATTTTTGTCGCTTTATAATTTCAACTATCCCATCAGTACATGTGACCTCGTGACAACACCCCCAAGTGCTATCATCACTATCAAATGCCCATTTTCAGCTGTGAACTGTAAAATCAGGATCAAAATTGTAATTTGGCATATAGTTTAAAATATTCACATCATACATGTCATACTGTTATTTGGGAATTCTGACAGAGTAATCTCCTCCAGTCATGAAATAACACATGATATTGTACAAAACAATGTCTGTAATAATATCTTTCAGTTATCACAGATATTTTCTTCGGGTGAAGGGTTAATAACCATTGAATCGTAAGGTATCATGGAAGATTTGCTAAAATAATCCCAAATACATGAGAATATTGAGTCGATTCCACTAAATAAATTATTTAAGACGAAGTCATATCATAAAAATATAACAAACTGGTAATCACTGTGCCCACCTTGTTTCACCGGAAATGGTGCAAATAATAATGTTAATATGTTGAAATCACACAAGATCTTACCAACAAAAGTTAAACAAACAGCAGTAAATTTGAAAGTATCTGACCCTGAAAGGTGTTATTACAGACATTGTTTCTTCATACATAACGGACATGTACATGTGTTATTCCAACACAATTCATGACAGGAGGAGATAACTCTGTCAGAATTCCCACAATAACAGTATGCCTGTTATTTTCTGTAATAGCTTGTTTAAGTTAAACCCTTGAGTGCTGAAAATGTTTTAAGTTTTAAGTTAATTTGACCACAACAACAATGTTTTTAACTGTCTTTTAACCAAAAATTTTATCCTAGTAAGAGACAGATATAGAGACAGTTTAAATAATGCCCCCTTCCTACCATAGCTATCATGGCTATAGACAGACATAAGAAACTAGACAAATGCTTGTTTTTTGCCCCTTTTTGGCCCCTAATTCCTAAAATTTTGAGATAATTACCCCCAAAATCAATCCCAGCCTTCCCTTTGTGGTATGGTACCTTGCAGTACAATTTCAGAGAGATCCATGCACTTAAACACAAGTTATTGTCTGGAAACTAGAATAAAATGCTTCGCTGGGGCGCAGCTTGATACGACCGCAGAGGTCGAACCCTGAACAGTTGGGGCAAGTATGGACACAACATTCAAGCTTGATACAGCTCTGAATTTGGATTGTTATTAAATATTTGACACAGCATAGGTTTCTGACACAGAAAGAATGTGGTCTAAGAACTTGAATTTTTTTAATTTACCTATTATGGTCCAATGTCCAAAATCAAAATACATGGTTAGATTCAGCATATCAAAGAACCCCATATATTCAATTTTTGTTAAAATCAAACAAAGTTTAATTTTGGACCCCAACTTGGACAAACTTGAAAACTGGGCCCATAATAAATAAAATGCTCCGCAGGGCGCAGCTTGATACGACCACAGAGGTCGAACCCTGAACAGTTGGGGCAAGTATGGACACAACATTCAAGCTTGATACAGCTTTGCATTTGGATTGTGATTAAATATTTGACACAGCATAGGTTTCTGACACAGAATGAATGTGGTCTAAGAACTTAAAAATTTTAAATTGGACATTCACCTATTATGGTCCAATATCCAAAATCTAAATACATGGTTAGATTCAGCATATCAAAGAACCCCAAGAATTCAATTTTTGATGAAATCAAACAAAGTTTAATTTTGGACCCTTTTGACCTCAATGTGGACAAAGTTGATAACGGGGCCCAAAAATCAAAAATCTAAATACATGGTTAGATTCAGCATAAAAAAGAACCCCATATATTCAATTTTTGTTAAAATCAAACAAAGTTAAATTTTGGACCCCAACTTGGACAAACTTGAAAACTGGGCCCATAATAAATAAAATGCTCCGCAGGGCGCAGCTTGATACGACCACAGAGGTCGAACCCTGAACAGTTGGGGCAAGTATGGACACAACATTCAAGCTTGATACAGCTTTGCATTTGGATTGTGATTAAATATTTGACACAGCATAGGTTTCTGACACAGAATGAATGTGGTCTAAGAACTTAAAATTTTAAATTGGACATTCACCTATTATGGTCCAATATCCAAAATCTAAATACATGGTTAGATTCAGCATATCAAAGAACCCCAAGAATTCAATTTTTGATGAAATCAAACAAAGTTTAATTTTGGACCCTTTTGACCTCAATGTGGACAAAGTTGATAACGGGGCCCAAAAATCAAAAATCTAAATACATGGTTAGATTCAGCATAAAAAAGAACCCCATATATTCAATTTTTGTTAAAATCAAACAAAGTTAAATTTTGGACCCCGATTTGGACCAACTTGAAAACTGGGCCCTATCAAAAATCTAAATACATGTTTAGATTCAGCATATCAAAGAACCCTAAGAATTCAATTTTTGTTAAAATCAAACTAAGTTTAATTTTGGACCCTTTGGACCTTAATGTAGACCAATTTGAAAACAGAACCAAAAATTAAGAATCTAAATACACGGTTAGATTCGGCATATCAAAGAACCCCAATAATTCAATTTTTGATGAAATCAAACAAAGTTTAATTTTGGACCCTTTGGACCTCAATGTGGACCAATTTAAAAACGGGGCCCAAAATCCAAAAACTAAATACACGGTTAGATTCAGCATATTAAAGAACCCCAAGAATTCAAGAATAAAACCCCATTGAAATTGGTCAAGAAATAAGCAATTTATACGAAGTATCTTCTTTTGCACAATACTGTGCAATTAAATATTTTTTGCTATTGCGCAATACTGTACAATTGACAATTTCTTGCTATTGCGCAATATTGTGCTATTGGATATTTCTTGCTATTGCGCAATACTGTGCAATTGAAGATTTCTTGCTATTGCGCAATACTGTGCAATTGAAGATTTCTTGCTATTGTGCAATACTGTGCAATTGAAAATTTCTTGCTATTGCACAATACTTATTATATAATAATTTACACATCCTGTTTGGTGTGTATCTCCTACCATATCAATATTTTTTGCTTTTAAATATAAATCAGAAATAACCAACTTAAAATGGAAAATTTAAAAAGAAAAAAAAAAGGAAAAAAAAAAAAAATCCCCCCCAAATTTTTTGGACCCCTTATGATTCATCACCCCCCAAACTCAATCCCAGCCTTCCCTTTGTGGTATGGTACCTTGCAGTACAATTTCAGAGAGATCCATACACTTGAACACAAGTTATTGTCTGGAAACTAGAAAAATGCTTATTTTTGGCCCCTTTTTGGCCCCCAATTCCTAAACGTTTCGGCAATTACCCCCAAACTCAATTCCAGCTTTCCCTTTGTGATATGGAACCTTGTAGTACAATTTCAGAAAGATCCATACACTTACACACAAGTTATTGTCATGAAACTAGAAAAATGCTTGTTTTTTGCCCCTTTTTTGGCCCCTTATTCCTAAAATTTTGAGGCAATTACCCCCAAAATCAATCCCAGCATTCCTTTTGTGATATGGAACCTTGTGGTACAATGTCAGAGAGATCCATACACTAACACACAAGTTATGTCTGGAAGTTACAAAAATGCTTATTTTTGGCCCCTAATTCCTTTACTGTTGGTACCATAACCTCCAAAATCAATCACAACCTTCCTTTTGTGGTATTGAACCTTGTGGTAAAATTTCATAGAGATCCATTCACTTAAACTAAAGTTAGAGTGCGAAAACCAATGTGTCTTCGGACGACGCTGGACAACGACGACGACGCCAACGTCATACTAATATACGACTACAAAAATTTTTTTACGGTCGTATAAAAATCTAAACACATGTTTAGATTCAGCATATCGAAGAACCCCAAGAATTCAATTTTTGCTAAAATCAAACTAAGTTTAATTTTGGACCCTTTGGACTTTAATGTAGACCAATTTAAAAAATTTGGACTTAAAATTAAAAATCTAAATACACTGTTAGATTTGGAATATCATAGAACCCCAATAATTCAATTTTTGATGAAATCAAACGAAGTTTAATTTTGGACCCTTTTGACCTCAATATGAACCAATTTGATAGCGGGGCCCACAAATAAAAAATCTAAATTCATGGTTAGATTCAGCATATCAAAGAACCCCATATATTCAATTTTTGTTGAAATAAAAAAAAGTTTAATTTTGGACCCCAACTTGGACCAACTTGAAAACTGGGCCCATAATCAAACATCTAAACACATGTTTAGATTCAGCATATCAAAGAACCCCAAGAATTCAATTTTTGTTAAAATCAAACTAAGTTTAATTTTGGACCCTTTGGACCTCAATGAAGACCAATTTAAAAAACGGGACCCAAATAAAAAATCTAAATACATGGTTAGATTCAGCATATCAAAGAACCTCATATATTCAATTTTTGTTGAAATCAAACAAAGTTTAATTTTGGACCCCAATTTGGACCAACTTGAAAACTGGGCCCATAATCAAAAATCTAAATACATGTTTAGATTCAGCATATCAAAGAACCCCATATATTCAATTTTTGTTGAAATCAAACAAAGTTTGAATACTGGACCATATCTTGGACCAACTTGAAAACTGGGCCCATAATCAAAAATCTAAACACATGTTTAGATTCAGCATATCGAAGA